TGTCGAGACGATCTCGAAGTACCGAACCACAAGGGCCCGTGACACCTGGTCCGAAACGACACGTAGCTGAGCCACAAGGGCCCGGCCACTGCACCAAAAACCTTCCAGAATGAAACTCAGGGATCTGGGGCGAGACTCCTCATGAGCCGCCCCAAGTGAACCGTCACTTGGCCGAGCCTAGGCAACGGCCCTCTCCTAGGGCCATACCCTAGGCCCGGTTGGCCCCGGCTCTAGCCGGCGGCCCTCTTGATGGGCCGCGGCTAGGGCCGCTGCTCTGATCTGGTGCACACAGTGTGCACCAGATGGATATTTTCATCTGTAAAAATTAATCCAAGCATGTCCAAAACATTCAAAACATTCTCAACACTTCAAAGACAAATACTAGATCACTTTCAAGCTCAAACACAACAAAATCACATCATTTCTACTCAATAAAATATGCTTCACAGAGCCAATATCAAAGAGGGAGTCCATGGGGTTATACCTCTTATTGCCTCTTTTTCTTGTATGGATCTCTACATCCTCTCTACTTAAACACCACCTCCTTCACCACCTAAACATCTCAAACAACAAACACAAGCCAAGACTAAGAAACCTCGGAGATTGAAGACTAAGAGAAGAGGAAACCTTAAGATAGGATGGAAAATGAATGGAGGAAATGAATGTTGAAAACTTACTGCAATGTTTCTTTCTTCTATCAGACAAGAGCTTGGGAGAGGCAAGGATGGAGATCAAGGAAAAACAAATGGATAGTGTTGTTTATATATGGTGCAAAACCCTAGGTAAAAAGGCCAATGATTGGGTGAGGGCAAAATAGTAAAAACTTGGCTAGAATATGTTCTCAGGCAATGTTTTCTTGGAGTGGTGTGGTCCACCTACCATCATGGACCAAGGGTTAGAAATGTTATTTTAAATACTTTGGGGTTGAAAATGAATTTTCTCAAAAAGTTTTCTAGATGAACACTTGTTTAAAGCTTATTTGAATTCTCCCGGTTTCACTCAGATTGATTTCTCGATTTAAAACTTGGTACGCGAAGTACCCGAAAATTTAGGATTTTGGAATAAAATAAGTGTTGGTGTTGAATTAATTTAAAATGTGACTAATATAATTTATTCAAACACCAATTGATCGTAAATTTTTTTTAATGGAGTGAAAATGGCTGTTTTGGAATTTCTTAAAATTGGATTTATAAAATAAAATTTTGGGTTGTTACATAGAGCCCTACAAGGAATAAGAATTTTAGACTGTCTTATATTGAGAGTCATAGTTACATAATAAGACATAATTCTACCATATCAGAAATAATGAGTCCGGTTCTAATTATATTAGGAATAACACGCCCAATTCTTGACAAACTCTTGGGTTGCTCTGTACAACGTGTCCTTCTTGGACTTTTTTGGTTCAGTTGCTTTCTTGGGCCGGTCCATGTGACCCAGGCCTAGTGTATCCGCAAATTATGTTTTGGACTCGTGTCCACAATGCATTGTGGACACGAGTCCAAAACGACGTCATTTTCAGGAAAAACACGGCATTCCAGTTTTTTTTTTTTTTTAAAAATTGATTTTGTCTCGCCGTTAACGGCATTATTCGTTTGTGGCATTATGAATGTACAGTTATGGAATTATGAATGTACAGTTATGGAGTTATGAATGTACAGTTATGGAATTATGAATGTAAGTTATGAAATTATGAACACAGAGCTCTGACATTAATAACTTACAATTATGAACATATAGTGATAAAATTATGAACATAGAGCTTCGAAAATTATGAATGTACTGTTAGGGAATTATGAATGTACAGTTATAGAATTATGAATGTACAGTTATGAAATTATGAATGTACAGTTATGGAATTATGAACACAGAGCTCTGATATTATGAACTTACAATATAAACATACAATGATAAAATTATGAACATGGAGCTCTAAAATTGTGAACATAGAGCTTCGAAAATTATGAATTTACAGTTATTGAATTATGAATGTACAGTTACGGAATTATGAATGTACAGTTATGGAAGTATGAATGTACAGTTATAGAATTATGAACACAGAGCTCCGACATTATGAACTTACAATTATGAACATATAGTGATAAAATTATGAACATACACTCCTATAACGAAGCGGTCTAATTTTTATTTTTTTAAAAAAGTGAAAGATAACGGTGCCACTAACGGCATCGGTACCGTCTCCACATTGCATGCTGGACACGGGTCCATAGCATAACGATTGTAGTGTATCATCCATCATCTAGTCCCCCACTTTCTTGAAATTTCGTGATGAAATCGATGTCTCAGGAAAGTATCTTATACAAATCCATTGACCCACTAATTAATTAATTGATAATAATAATAATAATAATAATAATAATAATAATAATAATAATAATAACAACAATAACAATAACAATAACAATAACGATAACGATAACGATGACGATGACGATGACGATGACGATGACGATGACGCTGACAATGAAGATGACGATGACGATAATGATGATAATGATAATAATAATAATTCTATATATAATAAAGCCATATGGTCTTGTGAAAATTAAATGGTGATAATCAACATTTAATTTTCACAAGACCATAATAATATTGTTATTGTGAAAATTAAATGTTGATAATCAACATTTAATTTTCACAAAACCATAATAATATTGTTAATTATAATAACAATAAAAATAATAATTGCAATAATAATAATGATAATAATTTCCACAGACAGTTTCTAATATATATATATATATATATATATATATATATATATATATATATATATATATATATTTATTTATTTATTTATTTATTTTTATTTATTATATTTATTTATATTTCAATTTCTACTGGCAAATTATTGTGTGAACGATGGTCCACATAATTGTATGGATCATGAATATCAAATACATTTTTAATATATTAAAAATACATTATTTTATATTGAAAGTACCTTACATACATATATAATGTACCCTTAGTATATTTAAAATATACTTTTTATTGCATGCAACCCCAAAGTTCATAAGTTTGAAATTAATATATGGCATAGCTAGGCGGCATAATATTTAAGATTGTTGATGTGCATATTGAGGACTACGGAGACAAAGATGCGTTATTCGTTGATTCATCGCATACTATCCAACAACACTCTCCAACTTAATTGACGTGAAGTGGCTTAGTAACATTAAGATTATATTCTCGAATTATTAGTTCTCATCTTTTATTGATTACACACTTAATTTGATAGTATTTGGAAGAAAAAATCAATGTTCGAACTAAGATTGTGATTTTGGTCTTTAAAGGTCAATTGTATGTTGCTACATCTAGAGTTAGAAATCTCAAAGGTCTAAAAATTTTGATCCGTGGTGACTCTAAAATTGTAATTCAATTACTATTGTAGTTTACTAAGTTCTTAAAAATTTGTAATATTAAATACTATGTACTAAATTTTTAATATAGTTTAAGATTTGTAGTAATCACCCACCTTAAATATTATTTTAATTGTAAATATATTTATGTTCATAATTTTATCATAGGAATTCACACATAATAATTATTAAATAACAAAAATTTTATATATGAATAAACCTCATATAGGGTATATTTTTATAATATATTTTCCGTGCATCACACGGGACAAATACTAATAATAATAATAGCAAGAGCTAAATGCAGCTGCCCAGCAATATGATTAACTTTATTTTTCTTCTTTTTCTTTCTCTTTTCCCCTTTCATTTTTTTTTCCAATACTTACGTTGGTGCATACGCTTCTACATCTACAATTCTAATAAGAGCCAATAATGTTAGGCCCTTAACTGGAATAAAAAAAATGTCGGTACTAATTGTTTCTTAAAATGAATGATTCATATTATTTTTATTTTAGTATTTTAATAATTTTTCTTATTTACCCTTTATTATATTATTTTCTTTCTTTAAATAACCTTAAATTCTGTTAGTATAAACTTTATTAACGGAATATTCCGTTAACTATTTATTATTCTTAACTTACTCATTAATTTCTATAAGAAAGGTCTTAGGTTCGAACCTCATTCCAATTAGAGTTAGCATAATTGTTAAACATATACTACGAATATGTTAAAATGTATTAAACAATATAATATAAAATTTAACATAAACTTTGGTCAAATAATTAGCACTACTAAATACATAGCATTCAATGATTATAAATCAAGAACTTTGAAAATCATTTGATTTTCTTTCATTAAAAAAATAATAAATTTAAGTTCAGTTTTTTTTTTCGTTTAATTATTTTTTTTTTGATTATTGAGAACAAAACTTAATATTTCAATTATGCTTTTATCAATGCATGAAAACTTTTAAAGAAATTTGTAAGTTAATTTTTACTATATTATTATAATAATATCCATTGTAACCTTATAATTTGAATTATTTATTATCATCATCTATTGACACCAATTGTCATTGACAAACTCTCAAAACCATTTGTCTCAACAACGAATGGAAATTCAAAAAAATCAATGATTTCATTATTGTGGATGAAAAGTATGTACGACACTTTATTCAATCGTTATGCTATGGAATTGTGTCCACCTTGCAATGTGGACACAGTTATATGTTCATAATTATAAAGCTATATATTTATAAATTTTGAACTTTATATTCATAATTATTGAACTCTATATTCAAAATTACAGAACTCTATGTTCATAATTACTAAACTACATGTTCATAATTATAAAGCTATATATTCATAATTTTTTTAACTTCATATTCACAATTATTGAATCTCTATATTCATAATTACAGAAGAAAGTAGGCAAATGTGCACTCTAAGCTCTAGGGACGGAGCCAGGATTTCCGGGGGGGGGGGGGGGGGGGCGAAGAAGCAAAGGTAAGATGAGTTCAAAAATGTTCAAATACAAGGTCCAAATACAAAATATCAAATACGAATACGATTGTTAAAATACAAAATATATTATAAATTACAAAACAAAGTTTATGATGAACTATGAACTACGAGGTAATACTCCTTTACGCTCTCTCATATTTTGAAATCGTTGTAGAATTGCTTCATTTGAAACTTGATCAAAAATTTCTTTTTCAACATACGACACTAAGCAATCATGTAATAAATCATCACCCATCCGGTTGCGTATAGATGTCTTGAATAACTTCATAGCAGAAAATGCTCTTTCCGCACTAGCAGTTGCAACCGGTAGGATCAAAGACAACTTTAGAAGCAAATACACCAATGTATAGTCCAAATGTCTTCTAGTTTCCACCATTTTTTGAGCTAATTCATGAATGCCATCCAATTTAGAGAAAGCCGGATCAGAACTTACATCAACAAAATAAGTTTGTAGTTGGTCATGTAGTAATTCAAGCTCAATATCAGAAAAATTATTGGGATACAACTGTGCCAATCGAACTAACTTATCCTTATCAAACCTAGCAAATGAATTCCTTGGATCAAAACGTGTCACGCATAAAAGCAACCCTGTACTCTTCTCATTGAAACGATTGTTTAGCTCTTGGAGTTGTAGATCTAAGACCACATAAAATCTTTCAACTTGATACCTATGAAGATGAGTCATTTCTTCAACATTACGGCGATGTCTTCCTGGAACTACATAAACTTCATCCATATTAGGTATAGGAATTGCATGCTTGTTGCAAAATAGTGATACTTCTTGCAAAAGAGCTTCCCACCCATCATCTCTCATCATTTGCAATCTTTGTTTTGAGACATCAACTAGTCTCATGGCATTCACAATGTTTTGATCTTTCTTCTGTAATGCCTGTGACAAGTCATTGGTAATTGCTAAAACATCCTTCATTAAGTGCAAAAAGAATACAAAATCAAAACATAGGACATTCTTCAATACTCTAAATGCTTCTAGCCTTTGTTTTGGATCTTGCCTTATTCCATCAAGGACATCAATCACCGGAGAAAATAATTTCAGAATGCTCACAAGTGCACCATAATGAGATCCCCAACGTGTATCACCAGGACGTTGTAAAACTGCTTCTTGATTCAAACCAATTCCCGTTTCAATTGTATCAGCAGAAATTGAATCAATCAACATCTTTATTTGTTTGTCTCGTAAGCTATCCCGACGCTTACATGAAGTACATACAATATTGCACAATTGCGATACAGTGACAAAAAAATCTCCAACATCATCATTTTCCTTTGAAACACCCACAAGTGCTAGTTGTAGTTGATAAGCAAAACAATGAACATAAAAAGCACTTGGATTCTCATTCATAATCAAAGTCCTAAGACCATTGAACTCACCTCGCATATTACTTGCTCCATCATAGCCTTGGCCTCATATTCTTGAAATACTCAATCCATGCCTTGTTAGAAGATCTTCAATTGCTACTTTAAGAGATATAGATGTAGTATCACGAACATGAGTAATTCCAAGTAGACGCTCAATAATATGCCCACTTGAATCCACATACCGAATAAACACAATCATCTGCTCTTTCACTGATATATCTCTTGACTCACCAACTATTATTCCAAATAATTCTCCACCAAGATCATTGATTATCATTTCAGTTGTCTCACTTGCAATTGCATTAACTATATCTTTTTGAATGCAAGGAGAAGTCAGTTGGTGATTTGCAGGTGCATTTTGCATCACTACTTTACCAACATCTTCAATATTATCTGCAAGAAACTTTAAGACCTCAAGGAAGTTTCCCCGATTAAGTGAGTCATAGCTTTCATCATTTCCACGAAAAGCAAGTCCTTGCCTTAAAAGAAAACGGATGCATTTAACCGATGAAGTCAATCGAACACGGTAGTCTTGTTTCGATTGCTCCGAGTGTTTTGATACACAAACTTGTATGTGTTGCTCTTGAGTCATTAAATCTCGACAAGCTTGTACGTTCTTTGCATGAACACTGTTATGATTACCAACATGTGCACGCAACCTTTCTGGTCCTTTTTTCCAATTGTTGAATCCTTCTGTAGCAAATGAGTCCCCCCCAGCTAGGTGTCCACTGCTTTCATCTTTGAATAGATAACAACATAAACAATATGCTGCATCTTCTGGTACACTATACTCCAACCAATTGCTATGATTTTCAAACCATTTAGGATTAAATCTTCTATTAACGCCCGTAATCACTCTAGTAGGAAATACAAGATTTTTTGGTTGACAAGGACCCATTTGAAGATATCGTCTCCGCACAATATCTCTATCATTGATATGATATTCATATATATTTTTCCTTTTACCCGGAGCAACTTCAAGTTCATCTATGTTAAATTCAATACGAGGCCTTGTACTTGACACTTCACAACTCCTTTGACTAGATGAATTCTCAAAAGATTTTCTTTTGAAAAATTTTCCATAACTGAATCAATAAAATACAATATAACTAAGATTTAAGAAAATTAGAGAAAAAATAACATTAGGAAGATAGCTTTATTGCTAACAGATAGGCAGTAAGAAAATCACAGACATTAGACTCACTAAAGAAATTTGCAAATTGCAAATTGCAATAGCATTTCGGCAGCATTGCAAATTTGCAAATTGCAATAGCATTTCAAATTAAAGAAATTAGAAGATTGAGAGCAGCCAACAAGTTCAAGTGCAAATTGCAACACTGCCAACACAGTTACACAGTCAACATAACCAACACATTCCAAATTGAAATAAATTTGAGATCAGCCAGGCAAAGACATTAAAGAAATTAGAAGATTTAGGGAAATTGATTAAATTGAGAGGCAGCCAACAATTATATAATTCAAGTATTCAACAAACTAACAAAGCTCATACATTAAATTGATTGAATTAAAATTAGAGAATTTAGGGAAATTAAAGAAATTAGGATAAAAATAAAATTATACAAACCTGTGATTCCTATGAACTGAGAAGCATGGAGAGCCGGAGAGGAGACCACAGACACTGTCGGAGAGGAAATTCGGAGACCACAAATATGAGAAGTGAGAATTGAGAAGATTTAGGAAAATTGATTAAAGAAATTAGGGCAAAATACAATTATACAAACGTGAGAACTGAGAGGTAGGGAGAGCCGGAGAGGAGACCACAGGTGCTGCCGCGTTGAGGGCTGAGGCGGTGTTGCCGGCGAGTTTGACGGGAAGAGAAGCAGCGATAGAGACGTTGAGACTTGAGAGAGAAGCACCGAGCGTGAAGCCATGAACACTTCTATCTTACCAATCTATGTAAAAAAAATAAAAATAAAATAAAATATATATTACAGCCCAAAAACGACGTCGTTTTGGGGCTGTATAATTTTGGGCAGTGGGGGCAGCTTCCCCCACTGCCCCCAGGCCACCTCCATCCCTGTTAAGCTCCCCACGTCTTTGCTCTTGTTGTTCGTGGGCAACAAGCTGTCAGTTACAATCATGACTAGCAACTTCTGTTTGGCGGTTAGCCATTTCCTGTTTGGCCGGGTGGCCGAGGTTGTAACACCCCCTAATTTCCATGCTAAATTAAACCGTAAACATGCAGATAACTTGCCAAAACATCATACACAGCGGAAGACTAAACATGGATTACATAAATAGGAAATAAAAGGGGTGCTATGCCACGGCCACCCAAAGGTGAACGCACAGGAGAAACATCTGCATAAATCCACAATCTAAATTCGTTCAGAAACAGGAGTACTAATATCTAACATTGGCACACAGGCCACAACGTCTCAAAATAAAGGGATCTAAGCTAACAGGTTCTCGACCGCGCTCTCGTCTACTCATCACCTGAAAGAAACACATAAAATATGGGACGACGCCCGGTCAGCGAATAATGCTGGTAACCCACCAATACATGTGAAATATCAGATTTCTGAATCCTATTGTTCCTAAATACCTAGAGTTTAAGCTTAATGTCCTAAAGTCTTGTCTTAAGAGTCTTATCCTACGCTCAAACTTAGGCTCTGATACCAACTGTAACACCTCTAAAATTTAAAACTTTGAATACTTATGAAGTAAAGGCAATACTATCATTAATCCCGAAACAGAGCATTACTAAACATAAGTGTTTGGGGTGTTATGCCACATCTGAGCTGGAGGACTCAGATGCACAGGCTAAACTATCTAATTATCCTAAAAACAATGTCATTACATCATCATGGCACGCAGGCTGAAAAGAAAGCTAACTATCTAAGCCTTGGGTCCTCCAGCGCACTCCGGAGCTACTCATTTGTGCCTGAAAGCCAAATATATTTGTTCAGCGAATAATGCTAGTAACCCACTCCAACGCGTTAAAAAATACAATATAGGTATATATATATATATATATATATATATATATATATATATATATATATATATATATATATATATATATATATATATATATATATATATATATAGGAAAACCATTTTGAAGCCGGAAGATATATACTTACGAGACTCTAGCTTTAAAATCAAGAATAGACTCAACAGGTAAGGACAAGCACATTTATCAGTTATAGTCATGCATATAAAGATACTAGCATGTCACACATCACCATATCAGTATTCAACCATTATCTCAATACATAAGCACACTTTGGTGGCGCCACAGGACCAATCGCATGCCCATACATGAGGGTCAGCGCATATAGCGCTAACACAGCCCCGCAGCACCCTGCCTCGTACCGCAGCACGAAGGGGTTGATCGCAACCAACCGATGAACTGCAACTCATCATAACGTTTGATCGCAACCAAACGGTGGACCGTAGCCCAAAAAGTGTATTTCTGATCGCAACCAGATTATGAACCGCATCTTATTTATAACGTTTGATCGCAGCCCTATATAATCTTTATATACCTGACCGATTGCAACCGGCCTGGTTAACCAGTCGATGGTTCTCAACCCATCCAACTGCCCGTATAACCAATTTGATCGCAACCAAATTGGGGTATCATGCACACATAACACATAGCAAGCACATGCAACCCACATTAGCACATCGGGAAGCGAAAAAACGTATAAATAAAACTTATGCGTGGTCATCAACATACTAGGAATATTCCTAAGGGGTTCATACATCTTTCACCTAGGCCAACGGGTTACCAATTCAACTAGCATGGAATACACAAGACTCTTTTATCCTACGAACGGTACCCGAAACATCAAACTAGACTCAGGCATGACAAAAGGGGTCCGATGGGACACCACGGGGAACGGGGAAACATCAAACGGGGAAAACCACCATCCACACTGGGAAAAACCAGTGGGTGTCCACCCGCCGGCTGCCCGCTGCCGGCGACACCAATTGGGGCAGCGGGTAGGTGGCGGGTTCCCCTACCCCCACTTACCCCCCACTGACTCTTTTGTAATAGTTTGGTCCCGGGATCTTTCGTGGAACCCGAAACCATGTCTAGACACATTTAAACACAAACGACGACACCACGTAGTCAAGTACTGGATCAAAACCAAGAATCACATTAAATACATCATATCATGACTTCTAAACATAATAACACCCGAACATGCAAAATCCCTCTTAAACATATCTAGAATATCATAACACAAAATCCATAATTTACCCTAGGGCTCTAATCATATTTAAATCCCAAAATCATAACTTTATCTTTAAAATCAAGAACATCAAATTTATCAAGATCAACACACAATAATCAAGATCCTCATCAAGATCATCAAGATCAACAAATAAGATCATCCCATAAACATCAAGATCATATCACAATCATCATAAAAGCCTTATCAAGACACGAGTATAGAATTGCATATCAAGGAGCCAAAGAAGAAGATTATAGCAAGGAAAATAGGTTTTGTTGATGATGTTATCACATCTGTGCTTGTTTTTATGGTTATTTTGAATCATCACAGTAATTAAGCTCTTTAATTTTGCTTATTTAATACATATTTTCCTTGCTATTATCATTTAATTATGGTTCACACTTGTTTTGAATGTTTTACGGTGTTTGTTAGTGTTTTTGAACCATTGTAGGTCAATTCTATGAGCAAGGGAAGTTCAAGGATGAGTTTGGAGCAATTTTGGACGAGTTCGGAACCCAGTAGACTCGACGCGTGGAAAATTTCCAGTAGCATCAGAAATCGAGACCATCAGGTCTCGACGCGTCGAGCCATAGCTCGACGCGTCGAGCGAGGCGTGAAGTAGCAGGCCTAATTACGACAAAAAGGGAGTTGGCAGCAATTCAACTTTAATCCCATTCAATTCCAAGTTCCAATCAACTTCAATAGCAAATTCCAACTTCCAATTTCAATTTTAAATTAAGTCGGCAATTTCTTTATATATAGGAATTATAATTTGAGTCCAATTTTGTACAAGATTCCTATTTCATCTCAACTTTGTACCCACTATAAAATCCCT